TGTCTAAGACCCGCAAATCGTATGCATTTTGGTAACCAATCCTATAGTTAGTGCGCGAACCAGAGTCCCACTGAACCACAACTGTCTTGTCGGGAGTGGTCGTAGATCCGGGTCGACCCACCTCTACCACAGTCCCGCAGTGACCCTCACCATCATCTGATCAATCAGTCATCAAGCACATCAGCAATGACAACGTAGTGGACACGTATTAGTGCAATGGCTACATACCCTGGTTAGACCACTTCCAGTCGGGCCCACGAACCACACGAAGACCCACATTCACTTCCATCTGATTATTACCATACAATGGCTTCACGTGTCCACCAAATGGTCACTAATTGACAGCAATTGAATGCAAACCACTGTTTTGAGCGTCACTTGTATTGACCAATGAATGCATTATTAATGATATATTCATTGAATTGAATGATAGGTCACAGCAATGAATGGTTTATGTGTTTAATGACAAACATCTGAGAAGTGTTTGAAGTGAAGACAATAACAAGACATGAATGAAAGAAATGTTGTATTTATTTCTTATTTCGTGTGTTTCTCCTGTAATTTGTTTTGTGATAATCACTCACTTCAAGGATCACAACGATTTGCATTTGCGAATGGTTTACCTGAAAGTCAATACAACACAACTCCATCTACGATACCCTGAGCTACAGTCTACACTCGCTATTACTATCGCTATATTTATTTCATTTTCTAATTATCATTATTTGTTCATTTTGCTAAATATGGCTCATATTTATTTATTTACTCCCGACCATGCTAATATGTTTGTCTGATGTGCTTATTTGAGACAAACATATGAGTTATATGTAAGGCTATATTAAATACGGTGTCGTGTATTGAATTGGATGACAGTTGCAGCGAAAAGTGCTGTAAATTTAAATTTGCAAACATTTTATTGGTCTTGAGTGTAGTGAAAGGCTTTGCAAAATTGGTGGCATTTATGGCCTAATTAGTGCTTTCTGTGTGTTTTACACTCATTGCTCACTAATTGACATCAACTTCATTATTAGACTAACAACCAAATCAATGCACACTATTTTATTTGTCATACATTTTAATTACAAAATTTAACTAAAGTTTGGGATTTATAATTTCCCCATAA